TGTCAGACTCTTACTGACTAAAAACCCCCCTGTTCCTTCTCCTGCTCTGGGCCGAGGTCGCGGTGCCACATTGCGCTTACCCCGCAACCCCGATTTAATAAGTAAGCTAATATCCAAATTAAAGGTATCTGTAATATATTTTGAGAAAATAAATATTTAATTATTTTATATTTACAAATGATTTTATATTCTCAGAAGAGAATGTTAAATTGGAAATAACACAACTAACTCCTTCATTTGAATACAAACAAATAAACATTTTAAGTATCAATATGATATTTCCGCATGCCAACCTCCCAAAAATAACTAAACTACATACATTTATATCAAAATAGCGCTACCCAAATAAAAGCAACAAAAACATGAAGTTAAATCAGTAACGTTTATTTCATTTTCATTCGGTAGTCTGGCTCAGTGTGCAATGAAAATGTAATTAAAGGAGTAATATCGTGTCGCTATCGCCTCAAGAGCCATAAGACTGCACACAGAAGCGACTTCTGTGAGCTGTGAGACTTCGTGGTTTCACGGAGTAGATAGATAATGGAGTGATAATTGCAATAAAAAAGAGACAGCGAATAACCTTGTTTCACCATTATCAATTGTATTCCGCCCAACCCTTCGAGTCGCAAAAATCTACAAAATCTAATTTTCAAAAAGCTGGCGACATACTTGTATCTCTATTGATGTTAGGGTGTACATGGGCGGCGTTAATTGCTTACCATAAGGTAGTCAGACTGATCTTTTACCGACATATCATATAAAAAAAACAGCAGTGGGTGATGGCGGAATATCTATCCTAATACATTCACCACTCCTTCTGTTCCTGTAGGTATTCTAATAGTTGACCAATAAACAGTAACTAGGCAGCAGCGTTTTCTGATAAACCTAACCACTTTCTTTCTCCGACCCGCTTGTCAAGCGCGGAGATTGCTGCAAACCTTTTTTTGTAGAGGTGGACTCTAACTTCATGCTTTTTTTATGTAATACGTACTATTTTCTGCCGGCAACGTCAGGACAAAAAGTAGCTTTTTCGTTATTCTAAACTATATAGTATAATCTATCTTTGCTCCAAATTTAATGCAGATCCTTTCTGTAGTTATTATCAGACTAAAAGAGAAACAAACATCCATCCGTACTTAAAAACTCTCGCGATTGTCATATTAGAAGGATATTTCTGTTTCCTCCACTAAATAAACTATGATCACTCTATTCCCACGCTAATCCGCGACAAGACTGGAGTTCAGAGATAATCATTGCAATAACAACAATTCTTGGGATCTAATTACAGTGAATCCGAATACGGAGCCACCGTACACCGGCCATTAAGACCCGTTTAGCCAAATAGCATGTTCACTTTAGGAATTTCGCGCCAACTCGGCGTCCAAATATGGCCGCTAATATTTTCTTTTTAAACTACTTTACTTGGAAATTGCTGTTTCCTTGATTAGGTTGTCGTAACAGCGATTAACATAAAATGATGGTTGAGCGGGAAACAGTTGTCAATGCCGCTTCTCTTCCAGCGGGTATGGTGTGAGAAGATAATGACCCGAATTTTCAAACTATGTAGCAGGTCATAGTTTAAAAATTCGGGTCTTTATCTTTTAACTTAACTGCCCTGGAATCGAAAAAAACGTGGAAATTAGGGCAAGCCAATTCCGGGTTTCATATTGTATAGAGGAATCTCAGGGCTGCAATTTTGCATTCGATTACCGTAGATTAATATTTATTTGATTATGCTGATAAACATGTCTTTGTCTACAAACACTTTGTCAAATCCCGCAAACCTCAAAATTTTAACTCCCTAAACCGCCCATGCACTTCTTGTAACTCTTCGATGTTGAGGCGGCGCTGACTGCTTATCATTTGGCGACCATTTTGCACGTTTGCCGACATATTATAATTATATTAAAAAATAGCTGATTTGTGTTATACGAGCTTCTCTACCCCTCTCCCTCCTCATCGTAATATAACCAAAGCATTATTATATTTAACAGACAACAGCAATCATTAATCACCATCCCAACTTTTTGCTTAACCCAACTTCACTCAATCTTAACCTCTAATCCTTTTTTTGGTCCAGTTAAAAACCATAAACTCCTAATAAGATTACGTAACCAAAACAAATTAACTATGAATCAACTGACCGTGAACTCGTCAGTTAGTTCGTCTGTAGTTAACCTATCATTAACTAACTAGTTCATGACACGATAATTATGTATATAACTAACTAGAAAACTAAACCAAGGTTAATTTTAAAGACCTTTTTCTACATACGAGTTCTTAATAATGAGGTTCTAAATGGTAACACGTCCTTTTTTATACATATGTGATTACTTTTTTTTGTGTATGGCAGCAAAGGTCTATACTGATCATCTTCATCGGCGCCGTCCTGTAAACACCCGCAACTGTAGAGAAGTTACAAGTGCTATGTCGGTCTTTTAGGGGTTAGTGAATTGGGAACTGAGGTAGGTAAAGGATGGAAGGATTGGGTTTCAGATAACCTTTCTCACACACACGATGTACCAAAATGCAAGCGTTTTTTAAAGCCATTTATCTGTGAGGCCCTGGTATCACGCCGATCGAGCCGACCCATTCGTTCACATCTTTGCTTATCTTAAAATGGCATTATCATCATCAGCCTGTTGTCGTCCACTGCTGGATATAGGCCTCCCCAATTGCACGCCACTAAGCTCGATATTCAGCTTTTCTCATCCAACCACTGCCAGCCACCCTGCGGATGTCGTCAGTCCACCTAGCTAGAGGGCGCCCTACACTACGTTTACCTAGACGTGGTCTCCACTCTAGAACACGTTTACCCCAGCGGTCATCGGTTCTTCGACAGATGTGTCCTGCCCACTGCCACTTCAGTTTGCTAATCCTTTGGGCTATGTCGATAACTTTAGAATTAAAATGGCAGCCGGTCTATTTTTATTATTTTCAGCAATGTTCATCTGTCTCATCAACATCAGTCTCTGTTTTCTCCTTAGCATAGGATTAAAAAACAATCGAACAACATTTGAAAGCTTTTTAGACTTGGACTTGAAGTGTGGGAAAACTATGCTTCGGCACGAATGGGACGATTCTACCGGAATGATACCAATGGGCTCAAAAAAAGGCGTAAGTACCTTTAAGTGAGGTTACCGGTGGATCAATCCTTCCCCTCCTCAATATCTAAATACCCAAAAACCTTTATAGCTAAAAGGCAGGCAATGCATTAGCAATTTAGCGTCGATTGCTTACTATTAGATAACCCACTAGCTCGTTTGAGATCATACTATTTGAAAAAAACACTTATGATTCTAATGTGTGAGAGAGTCATGCTTCGGCACGAATGGGTCGGCTCCGGAGTGATACCACGACCTAACAGAAAATCGGCGTGAAACAACCACACGTTATGTTTCGCCGTGTGAGTGAGGTTACCGCGGCCAAATCCCCCCCCCCCCTATCCATACCTAAGACCTAATCCCCAAAAAGTCAGCAACGCAATCGTAACTCCTCTGTTGCGGGTGTTCATGGGCGGCTCTGATTGCTTAACATCAGGTAATTCGTCCGATAAAAAAAAATCTTATTGCCCGATATATTATGAGTACTTATGAGCCCTATGTTACAAAGGACGTACCTATTACCATACTACAAACACATTCACTACGCGATATCTCGTTAATAGATTGCACTCCTTTACTTATAATCTACGTTCACATTATATCTACCTAAGTGTAAATTAACTTTTAATGAATACCCGTAAGCGTTCAAAGTTTTATCGATCCCACGCGTAAAGACTTTGCTATATGATTAAACTAAGTTATTTCAAGTTAAAAGTACCATTAAGGAAATCAAAATCACTTGCTACATTGGTTCTGATTACACGGTATTTCGCTAGATAATGTTTTTGTAGAAGATTAAATAGAATTTATGTAAGTAGTTTAATTTAGTATCGATAACGGTATGTTCGAACCTAAAGTCGTGAAAGACAAACTTGGCAAGTGCTACGGGATAAACCCGAGCAAAAATAAAAATCTAAAATTAGAAATTAAACAACAAATGTTTTAAACAATATCAATTTATTGTTTAAAACTACACAAAAAACAAAAACAAGGCGTGGGTTCTACGCCTACTTGGTGGCACTGTCACTGATGAGCGTTTACAATAATTAAAAATGTGGGTATATGCGAGACGTGGCTGGCGGTGTTGGTGGTGGCCACTTAACTAAGGCATGAGGCTTGAGGAAGCATGCCGGCTACAGCGCACTGGCACGGGGCCAGGCCATTGACGCTCGCCATCTCCAGGTTTCCACTACACACGGGGTTCCTCAACTCCGTACATGGCTCTTAAATTCGACAGAGCCTTTCAAGTCCGTCCGTGGTTCCCTGCAAAGGGAACCACGGACGGAAACACTGAATTTAAATTATTAAGCCTAAAATTGGCTTCTGCGAAAATTATGCAACACAGTACGTTTGTAGGTCGGCGATCAGGATTCCAGAAGAAAGGCAAGATTCTACTCGAACCCGCCTTATAAGGAAATTGCATTTCATAGACAAGTATAGTAGGCAGAGACACATATCTACTTCTTTTTAATTATCTGACCTCAAGGCTAACAATCCGCGGGCGATTATCCATTAATAAATAAAATTAAAACGATTACCCGCTATTATTGACAAAATTATTTCATCTACCGCACATTGATTCTATTATCGATTGGGTGAATCTATAATCTGTGAAATGACAACTGACGTTGACATTTCACGACAAGCGTAACGTCACTTTGATGTGAGGTTTGACACTTTGCAAAAACAACAAACACAACATTATTGTGCATACGGTACGTCACTGTCATTTTGAGTCATATTGTGTCATTCTGTCATTTTAAAGTTTTGGCTGGACTTTCGTCGGTAGTGGTGAAGGGTACACACGTGCTTTTATCGGTACTGCGATTGTTGTCAATTTTAGTGATCTTATTCATAGTGATCTAAATTGAAACATTGTGTGTTGTTTTTATTGTGTGTTTGTGTGCCGTTTTTAATAAGGTATTGGTATTTTTTACATTTTTAACTAATCGTTTCTCTCTTTTACTTGTCTCCGTTGTCCAAGATGGACGCGGAGAAACCCCCCGACCCTCCTGATAAATCCCCCGATATTAAGCCAATTCTAACCGTCACTCTTCCCCATGACAACCCGGACCTCGAAATATTGGACTCTGATCCTGCATCAAACAGAAAAAGACCCGCAGGCTCCCCCCCTGTCTCCCGTAATAACCCGCCGAAACTAGCGAAAAGCATCAACGGTAGACAATGCTACACCGCTAGGGACAACCCTCCCTACATAGTGTATGTTTCGCTTAAGGACTCCCAGACGACTGGCACTACTCTTCACCCGGTAAAATTTGGGATGTTTTTAATGCGGAACAACATTAACAACGTCAAAATCGGTGGTGTAAAAAGAATAGGCAGGAACAGAATCTCGGTTGAGTTTGAGTCCCACCAGGATGCCAACAGTTTTCTTGTGAACTGTGTGGTTGCACAAAGTTATACAACCTCAATCCCTCAGTTCAATATCACCAGAATGGGTATAGTAAGGGATGTTCCCATTGAGTGGTCAGAGGAAGAGATAATTAGCAACATCAGGGTCCCTGCGGGATGTGGTGTTGTTATAAAGGCAAGGAGGATGAATAGAAAAGTGTCTTCACTGAATGGAACAGAATGGAAACCTACCCAGACTGTAGTCCTGACGTTTGATGGCCAAATTTTACCTAAGAAAGTTTTTTGTTTCTACTCCGCCCTACCAGTAGAATTATATTCGTACCCGACTATACAATGTTACAACTGTTGTCGATTTGGTCACACCCGCACTTTGTGTCGTTCAAAACCACGTTGCTTTAAGTGTGGTCAGGATCACCCTGGCGATGGATGTCAAATCTCATTGGAGTTTGCACATTGCATTAACTGCAATGGCAGTCACTTTGCTAACGACAATGCCTGTCCAGAGTTGGGCCGCCAAAAAAGCATAAAAGCTTTAATGGCGGAAAAATCTATATCCTATGCGGAAGCAAGCCAAGTCTTCCCCACCGTCAAAAGGTCATATGCTGAGGTGTCGAGGTCAACTAATTACATAGAATCCACTCCAACCAAAAAACCATCCCAACAGAGAGTATCTTATAAAAAAACAGTTTTACTTAAACCCAAGTCCCATGCTCCACTTTCCCCCAGTTATGATAAGAAGATAAGGGCCTGGTGGGCCCCAGGCCCTTATCCATGATTATTCCTTTTCCCCATCTCAAAATGGTTGCGCTTTCCCTGTGGAATCCGGAACCAACAAGCATAGCTCCAAAAACATTTTAAATATTATCTCAAATATGCTGATGGCGGTGTTATCCAACCCTGCCCAAGTTGTACCTGACCACGTTGCACAAAGATTAGCTACAATTTTAGAATACATCTATAAAATTCCTTCCGCTCACTCTCCTTCAGTGGAACGTGAGGAGTACTCTTCCCAGGAAGAGTGACTTACTCCACCTAATTAATAAGTATCACCCACAAATTTGTGGCATTGTTGAGACTTGGCTCCTATCGAATATCAATTTCAGAATACCAGGTTTCAGTGTTGTCAGACAGGACAGATCTGATGGTTATGGAGGTTGTGCTTTGTTAGTTAGTAACAAAGTACCCTTCTCCCAGATCCCTCTACCCTTCGTTGGCGATGACATAAATGTTGTCGCTGTTAAGGCTGAGGACATAAACATTTTTATTTTTTATATTGCCCACCCCCAGAGTAGTCATATCATTTCCATTAAAAACTTATTAAGTTCAGTAAGTGGTCCATTACTTGTAATGGGCGACTTTAACTGCCATCACTTTCGATGGGGGTCTGAAATATGCGACAGCATAGGTCATGACCTAGTAGACATGCTGGATGACCTCGACTTATGCGTCATTAATGATGGCAGCCCCACCCGTAGATCTGCATTTGGTCAAAGAAACAGTTGTGTGGACTTGACTTTCTGCTCATCTGGTGTGGCTAGTGTGCTGAATTGGAGTTGTTTGGATATGACCTATGGTAGTGATCACTATCCCATTATTATTAAGAACCCGTCCAAATCCATCCCTGATAAATCTCTCCCTCCCTTATTAAAATATCGGCTAAACTCAGCTGATTGGGATCAATATTCCAAACTATTAGATCTGCGCATTTCAGCATTACCTTCCGTTAACGCTGAAAACGCTTTGGAGTGTTTCTCCCAATTTTCTGACGTAATAGCTTCTACAGCTAAGGACTGCTTTCCGGTGAAAACCACTCCAAAAGGAAAAATCCCCTCCCCTCCTTGGTGGGATAGTGAATGCACTGCTATGATAAGATCTAGGAATGAGGCTGAAAAGACATATAACCATAATATGAACCTGGAGAATCTCCTAACCTTCAAGCAGATATTGGCTAAGTCAAGGAAGCTGTTTAAAAGGAAGAAGAAACAGGGATGGCGGAGTTTCTGTAGTTCTTTGAGCCCATCCACTCCGGTGGCAACGGTTTGGCAGAGGGTGAGGAGCTTTAGGAACTCCTCTAAACCTCCTTCAGTCTACATCCTACCTGATGGCCTTAGCCATAAGTTCTTTACCAACATTGCTCCTATTTATGTTCCCTGTGAAGATGAATGTTGTTGGGGACTGTGTGAAGACTCACATGACCCCCTCGACATGAAGTTCACAGTGGAAGAGCTGCAAACGGTGCTGAATCACGTGAAAGATTCTGCACCAGGTATTGACGGGTTTCCTTACTCCTTCCTCGCAAAAGCAGGAGTCAAAACTAAACAATACTACCTTGACTTGGTCAATTTTTGTTTTATTTTCGGCTATATTCCTCCATCCTGGAAGGTTCAGGTTGTTATGCCGCTGTTAAAAGCTGGTAAAGATCCTGGTGATCATTCGTCCTACCGACCTATTGCGCTATCGTCCATCCTTATTAAAATCCTAGAACACCTCATAAAGAATCGATTAGAATGGTTAGTGGAAAGCCAGGGACTGCTGCCGACGACTCAATTTGGCTTTAGAAAGGGCTTGGGTACGGCCGATAGTGTGGGCATCCTCACATCGGCCATCCGACTGGCCCTTAGCAGGGGTGAGTCGTTGGTTGCGGTCTTCTTGGATGTCTCAGCTGCTTATGACTCGGTTCTCCTACCCCTTCTCAGGCAAAAATTGCAAAAGCTGAGAATTCCGAGTAGGATTTGCCAGATTATAAGCCATATCCTGTCCAACCGTACCCTCCAATTAAGGACTCCTGAGGATAGTCCAGTACAGAGAACTGCCTGGAGGGGATTACCCCAGGGGTCAGTCCTTAGTCCTATCCTCTTCAATATTTACACTCATGACCTTCCTTCCTGTTTAAACTATGATTGCAATATCCTACAATACGCTGACGATATCGCACTAATGATCACCAACAGCTCTATAACGGACGCCGCCCGCTCCATGAATGTCTCTTTGTCCTCATTAAACCAGTGGCTACTTAATCATGGGTTATGTTTAAGCGCCCCAAAAAGCTCGGCTGTAATTTTTACGCGTAGACGACGGTATCCAGATATCCGCATAGAAATAGACGGTCAGGCAATTCCGATCAGCAACAAGGCTAGATTTCTAGGTGTGATTCTCGACTGTAGGATGTCGGGGTTGGATCACGTAGACGCCGTTGTCACAAGGTGTGAACGGTCAATAGCTGTACTCAGAGCACTGGCTGGAGTATGGTGGGGTGCCAACCCCTATACATTAAAGCTCATATATAATGCATTGGTCAGAAGCGTAATGGATTATTGCTGCTTCCTTATGGCACCTTGCAATAAGGAAGCATTTAAAAAACTTGATTCCATTCAGGCCAAATGCCTTAGAATAATTATTGGAGCTATGAAGTCGTCCCCTATAAATGCTCTACAGGTCGAATGTGCAGAGCCTCCCCTCGACCTTCGGAGACAATACCTAGCAGACCGTTTCGTTTCGAAAGTCCTTTCCCTTTCATCGCATCCCCTACTCCCGATCCTGGACCAGATACACTGCTCCTATAATTCCTCTCCGTACTGGAACAATAAACCTATCCCTCCTGTGATTGTTAGGTACAGAGAACTTAAAAACCTCTCTGCACCCATCAGTCAATACCCTGTACTCCCGGTCTTTTCTTCCACATATGATGTTATCCACTTCAGGCCAAGCGTTGTCCTAGAACTAGGCATTGCAAAAGCATCAGTGAACGCTAATAAGAAATTTAAACGCGCTCTGAGCAATTTCTGGAGTGGCTGGAATCTTTTCTACACTGATGCTTCTAAACTGACTCCTGAAGGATGCACAGGAGTAGCAGCATATTATCAGAACTCAAGGATTGCTTTGTTAGCCAAATATCCCTCTGAGGCTTCTGTGTTTACTGGTGAATGTGCTGCTATTCTGGAGTCCATAAAATTTATCAAAGCTCACAATTTGAAAAATTCCGTCATCTTCTCGGATTCTAGAAGCAGTCTTCAAGCTCTGGGCCAGGACCAACTCCACTCCAGAATCTATAGCAGTTTAATTATAGAAATAAAATCTTTACTTTTTGCGTGTCATGAAGATGGCTTAAAAATAGAAATCGCTTGGATCCCTGGTCACTCTGGCATATGTGGTAATGAATGTGCGGACAAGTTGGCGAAGTTTGCGGCCTCAAACAATGTGGAAAACCAACATAATGTTGTGTACGGGTATGATATACGAGCGGACACAAAACACAAGCTTTTCAAATCTTGGGCTGCAGTGTGGGTGGACTCCTCCAAACGGAAAGGTGCCTATTATGCCAATATCCAGCCTGACATCCAGCGGAAACCTTGGTTTTGCAGATATGCCAAACTCCCCCGTCACACTGTTACAACTTTGTGCAGACTCAGACTCGGCCATTGCAGCAGTCCGGTCTTCCTCAAAAAGATCCGCGTTCGTGACAGCTCGCTGTGTGAATGCGGTCTTGATGAGGGTACTTTGGACCATATTTTCTTTTCTTGCCCCTTAAACTCCCAATCCTTTGATCTATACAAAAAACTCCCCAATATCCAAATTCCCCTTCCCATAAATTTCCACTCCCTCTTAACTCACTTTTCGAATAAACTAATAAAATATCTATCTAAATTTATTAATGAAAATGGTATAAAACTGTAAAGGTGTGTAATATTATAAATAGGTAATAAATATTGTATATACATATATGTCAGATGTGTCTGTCCTCTCATTTATTTTTATTATAATATTAAAGTAGAATTAGTTTAGGTAGCTATAGTTTTACTAACCCATGTGTTGTCCTTTCAGCTACTAACAACAAACTACCACAAAGTTAAAATTCGACGGGCCCTTAACCTGCCGTCACTACTTGACACTGGCAGTATAGTCGACAACATCAAATTGGAGACTCGGTTGCCATTGAAGAAGAAAAAAAAAAAAAAAAAAAAAAACATTATTGTGAATTTAAACAAATAAAATTACATCCAATTATGTTATTTGGAATGCTAAACGGAATGAATATCAACTGAATTAAGGTAGGTCCCAAATCTAAGGTTTACAACGTTACACAAGTATGAATGTCTGACTTTTTCCGGGTAATACTTACTTTCTAATATTATTTACACATCACTAAATACTATGTTAATGCGGCGAAGAAAACATCGTGAAGGAACCTTTTCTTTGTGAGTTCTCCCGGCCAGGGTAGGGCGGGAGGGAGTGTCAGACTCTTACTAACTAAGGACTCCCTCGTTTCTTCTCCTGCTCTGGGCCAAGGTCGCGGTGCCACATTGCCTATAGGGCCCCGTCTGTGGTGGTCTATTGGCAGTTTGAGGCACGCGCGGAATGTTACGCGCCGCACGCTGGTCCTGTTCGGGCGGTCGGATCTGGTTCTGATCAGGCGGTGAGCTACCCTGATTCGCCGTCCGTAGACCCGCGCTTACGGTGGCCGGAGATCATCTCTCGATCCCCGAAGATATTTGATTTCTAACTGTAAGTTTGACTTAAAGCGACATTGAGTAAACGTAATAATTAATGCTCATGGCTCTCCCACTATATGTATATAATAATAGAAATTAATAAGGACAGCCCTTTACGTATCGTGTCGTAGCTAGCCGTAGTCTAATTGCGAGTCAACTCAAGCAGGCGTTTCAAATTGTGTCATTAATGTGAAATAAAAATAAATA